TTGTAGATGGATGCACAGAGGAAGACAAGAGAAAGAAGTGCAGTGTGGGAGAACTACACTCAACCAACACCAGGGAAGGCAGTTTTTGTCAGAGCCCTTGTTATTCTTAATTTTGACATTAATTTTCATTTTTACACCAGACATATACTGTATATCGGTTCAAAATATCGGTTATCGGTCTACTTGATCTGTAATAATCGGTATCGGCCCTGAAAAACATATCAGTCGACCCCTAGTACTGTGCATCTGAAGATGATGCAAGTACAGATAGAGAGGAAAAACCACTGTACTGTATCACAACACAAACAGCCGCAGCAACAGCGGGGGAAGCGTAGGCAGGTACATGACGGACGGTGATCACCTCGTAAATAACCCTATCCAAGCAAATATTAACGATTAACATCCACATCAGACATCAGCCACAACCTACAGCAACATTACACCAGCACCTCCCGAAGCCAGATCAAATAAGAGCAGCATACAGTAACCCAAACAACACGTTACATCACAGAGTAGCGCTAGGAAAAGCAGACCAAGCCTGACCTCGCAAAGCTCAAAAACAAGCGGAGCACCCGGCATGAGAGACAGACGGAGATAAACGCACACATACCCATCCTGAAAGGTAGAGAGAGGCCATTATAGCAGAGTTCCAGGCTGTGGCTGTCAGCAGCGCACACAAGACAGCAGAGGAAGATTTAAGAGCCTGGGAGTAGCTGCGGTTTGGACGGCACTGGCTCGCCTGCAGGGAGGGTGAGCGAGGGGTGTAGCGCGGCCATGTTGGACAGGTAAGATCGTAAGGGAATCCCTCCACACGCACACTTGACACAGACCCTTCATGTGAGATCCAGAATGAATTATGACCTCATAAACATCAACATAAAACTTAAGAGTTTGCAGTGCAGTCCTTCCCACAAACAAATGACTCATTTCCTGTTGGAATGTCTTTCAGGAGTAGAGAAAAAGCACACAAACAACTACAACAATATATTTACTAGGGCTGCACGATTAATCGAATGCGATTGTCATGCGTATCTTGTCAGTAAAGCCGGTTCTGTGATTAGTAGTAAATATCCAGCACGTGTTTTCAGATGGAGCGGCATTTACCACACAGAGCCGTAGTTCACTGACAAGCTACGCAAAATCGCATTCATAATCGCAGACGATATAATCGCGCGATTATGAAATCTAAGAAATCGTTCTGCGATTATGAAAGCGGTTTGCGTAGCTTGTCAGTGAACTACGGCTCTGTGTAGTAAATGCTACTCCATCTGAAAGCACGTGAAAATACCACATTTAATAACATGTTTTTACTCCAAACTCACTTCATAACGTCAGTCGAGTGTTTGAAATAAATCCTTCTGTGAGATGATGTGACTTCTTACACAGAATAAGGCACGCAACATATTTCATAGTATTCTAAGCAGTAATAAAGGCTATGTCGATTAGCATTGCATTATTATATACTTTATAATAAAAATGATAAGACAAACTCAGATAAACCATATATTGTCGTAGTCGTGTATTTATTAGTCACGTTGAATCAATTAAATTTAATAAATATAAAATATAAAAATAATTTTAGAGAGCAGACAAATTCACAATATTTGCACTATGGTTTAATATTTTAAACCATGACATTTTACACAAATGTGTGAAGGAAAATATTGTTGCTACTATAAAATCTTTGTTACTGAAAATCATACACACACATATACAGTGGGTACGGAAAGTATTCAGACCCCCTTAAATTTTTCACTCTTTGTTATATTGCAGCCATTTGCTAAAATCATTTAAGTTAATTTATTTTCCTCATTAATGTACACACAGCACCCCATATTGACAGAAAAACACAGAATTGTTGACATCTTTGCAGATTTATTAAAAAAGAAAAACTGAAAAATGCTCAGTATTTAGTAGAAGCACCCTCTTGATCTAATACAGCCAGACAGACAGACAGACAGACAGATATTCAAAAGTTTGGGATCAGTAAGATTTGTAATGTGTTTTACAGAAGTCTCTTCTGTTCATCATGGCTGCATTTATTTGACCAAAAATACAGAAAAAAACTGTAATATTGTAAAATATTATTACCATTTAAAATAATGGTTTTCTATTTTAATACTTTAACATATAATTTATTTGTGTGATGCAAAACTGAATTATCATCTAGGGATGGGTCACGATTTTTGAATATTCGATTAGTTGATTTAATAATAGATTATCGAATAGGCTGTGCGATTTTTTAGCCAATAATTCTCCATGTTTTCGGTGCTGATGTGCTGGTGACACATTCATGTAAGCAGAGGGTGGCGCCGCCAATAACGCACCTAAAAGCTGTCAAAGACAACAGAAGAACAACAACATTGTCTCGCGCATATTGTAGATTTGCGTCAGGATTTAACCGCCAAATCTTTTTCTCCGGCGGCAGACTTCCTTCATCTAGCACTAGCAGCGGCCCGCCTGTGACAAAACGAGCTCGGGCCGAAGGTAAACACACACAACTACAACGAGTGTGGACCTGCCGCACGTACAACAGCTTTCAGTCGAGATCGGCCCATGGAGAAAAGGCCGTCTGACATCCAGAAGTGTTTTGAAGCGGCGGCACGGCTCTGGCCCATTATCTTCTCACCGATGCCGAGACTGAGCCGAGAGTGACGCATTTCAGCCGGAATCGGCCCGAGTGTGCTTGCTATCTGTTTGTTCTCTGCGGCCGGACTAAAATTGTGAACAGATTGCGCTCCCGTCTTCATCCCGAACATGTGGACATGCTCAGTTTTTGAATAAAAACATGAGATAGGTTATTGTTATGAAGACCGACGTTAAAATTAATGTTCACATAAGTGCCGTCATTCAGGCTCTTCACAATAGGGCCTTTCGCACCGCGGGAACCTTTTCATAGTACCA